GCGCTGACTTCGCCATCGTGTCGGGAAATCCTCCAGCCAATTGTACACCAAAGAATTTTTCACTTGGATGCCTCTTCACTAAGGAATACTCTGATGGAGTTCCTAAAATTATGTTAATCTTCTTTGCAAATGTTTCCTTAAAAGAACGACACCTGATAAAAGACTGGTTGCAAGAGCCATTTCACCACAAGTGATTTCAGCACCAAAATCCACGCAGAGGCGACGAAATGGGAGATTACCCTAAACCGAAGTAATCATTCCAACTTCACCTACAAGTTTATGATAAAATGCTGGTTCTAGCAAAGTTGAGACGTTGAAAAAAAAGATTTAAACAATCGAAAAATCAAGAAAACCTACCACAGTAGTAAGAGGAGCTAAAAACTTCTTTCCTTTCAGAGTTTTCATGTCCAACCTCGGCTTTTCGCGCTCCATTGCTCCAGTGTTTCCCTCCTTGAGTGCATTGAGCACCTCAAGCAATAACTGTAGAACACAGCAGAAGAAGGATACGAAGACAAAGATCTATCTCAGTTTAATGTAACCTCTCAATTTGAGCGTTTTATTTCCATTTTTAACTTTTTTGGTTTTATAATTGTTTCGATGCTCCTACTTCTATACTGTTTCTATTATTGTATTATCACTTTAACCGGTGCTGTATAGGATACATTTGAAGAAAAAAATAACTACCTCTTCCGAGCGTTTGAAATTAAATGTCTTTTTCCTAAGTGCGATTTGAATTTGTATCGAAGAACCATTTATCGTTTCTTGATATGGTTGATCAGGTTCCTGAAAACAAGACTCAGTTAAATAGAACATTCTTATGAAGGGTCTACCTGAAGCACCTTGCTAATCTGATTTCCTTGCGGATCAGTGTGCGCACCGCCAAATCGACATGCATAACTGAAGGGGCAGGTTCCTCTGGCTTCAAAAAGGGGACAAATATTACCGATGTCTCCAGGTTTTTTAGCGAGAAATGTTGGTATGTCATGTTCCAGGGTGCATCTTTCACCAAATCTAAAAACTGCGAATGAAAGAAGGCCTCTGTATAATTGTAGTCATGAAAATAGTAAAACAATAAACTTACTTGCATTTGACGGGTTGGATGACGGAAGGACATAGTCTGGCACTGGATGCTCGGATAATAGTTTCAGCTTGTTTCATTTCCTTCCTAAAACACTTGCGATGACATCATATCACAGAGAACTTAGTCTTTAACCTGAACGTATTACTCAAATTCTATTTTTGTTCATTCCCTTCCTATTCTTTTTGTCCTGCTTCTTTTTCTCGCGATTTATAGCTTG